TTTCGAAAATAGGGATAACAAATGCTGCTTTTCAACAGGCTAGATAACAAGACTCTGAAAAGTACTTGTCAAATAGTTTTGAAGTTATAGAACACTTCTGCCAGACTATAAAAGGTATGTTGTCCGGGCCTCAAGCTGTAAAGGATTCTAAGCAGATATCATTTTAGATACAAAAGCTGGAGTGATAAGGGTGTCAAGCAATAGATCAACCTATTTGACGGCTATATCAGTTAGAAAGTAACTAGTAAAATCAAGAGATGATATTGCTGAAAAGTTGTGAGCAAATAGTTCAGCATTGTCTTCAGGTGTGGTGACAAAATCTGGACCATACAAGAGAGGTGGAATTACAGACTTGCCCTTATTATTGATACTATTAAAGATTCTCCAGAAGTCGCGAGAGCCTAATTTTTGTAATGAAATACGAAATTTCATGACATGAGAATAGCAGGCTTTGGCGTTAGACAAAACCTTTTTACAATATTTTCTAGCAGTTATAAACAGACGTCTGTTTTCTGGAGATTTACTGATAAATATAAAGGTTTAACTTTGCTGATAAATATAAAAGTTACCAGTTTTTATTGGAAAATGCAGCAGCACACTGTGAAGAAAACCATGAAGAAGAGTGAGGTTTGGCTTAGAGTCGTCAAGAGGGAATAAAGACATCTTGGTAAATATGATCAGAAATAACATAAAGAAGAATACAGTCTAGAGATGAAGGAGAGTGATATAGAACACAGATAAATGCGATAGAGTGAAGTGGTGTTAAACAAAAGGACATAAAAGAGTAATATGTGGTTTCAAATCTAGTTTCCCGACAAATGTGTGAATTGTTACAAATGTAAATTGCCATGCCAAGCATGTGACTATTAAAGTCTTTAAAAATTAAAGGAAGATAACCATTAACACTAAGATCACAAGATGAAATAGCTGAACTCAAATTATTCTCACAAAGAGCAATTAGGTCTTGTCAACTTTGCAACAGATAAGACTCAACAGAAGAAAAGTTACTTTGAAGACAACAATTTTTAGTAAATGATAGGTTTTGAAAACTATGGTTTTTTGTATTTTATAGTTTTTAGTACAAAATTCAATTTTAAATTTGTTAAAAATTTTGACACTACACTGTTTAATAACCGTAACAAAGGCTTCCAATGTGGACTTGGCAATGCACACCGAAAATACAATAAGGAACACCATCCATACGAACATGACGCTGTTAATACTTTGATACTTTTCAGCTGTTGATGGAATCAACCTCTCCAAGAGCTACCAAAGAGTTTGGGAAACCTGATTAACAGCCGGCTTCAGAACCATGAAACTAGAGCTGTAATCTCTTTAGGAGAAAATAGAATGAGTTGCCTAGTAATAAAAACAGAAACACAAGCATACCCATGCATCGAATCAAGAAGATCCAACATTCAACATCCTAAACTGGAAACAATTTATTAAAATTACATCTGCGCCATGCTAATAGATGAAGGAGAGGAGCTAGACTGGTCAACAGAGAGAATCTGTTTACTCCTTAAGTAAATATTGAAAACTTGGTTGACCGCTTTGCTAAGTCAGAAAATTGTAAATTATAATTTGTAATATAAGTTGTTAAAATAATCAACAAATTAAGTATGCTTTTTTATTAAAAGCTACAAATACTAAATACAAATAAAGTTTTTTCAGAATCACATACTGGGGTGGGTAAAAGGGGCAATAGTCTCCATTTCCCTCCTTTTATGGATCAACCCTTGTTCCGAGCTAGAGTTGCATCACTGGATTACTCATATATCGTTGCCATCACAGAAATGTAGGTCACTTCTAAATCTTTAACAAGTCTAGACAACTACACTGTGTATCATCGAAATAGGAAAATGTATGGAAGTGATGTGTAGATATGTGTTAGAATAGATATACCTTCATTTAAATGCTAGTTCAGCGATAAATAAATTTGTTATGCAAAAATGTATCAAATTTCAATTAGAAATAATATCTTGTTGATGTATTTAATGCCCTCCTTTTACTTCAAATGAGTCTAATTTACAAATCAATAAATTAAACAAATGTGCAAAAGCTCTAATTGATTAGAGCTTTTGCAAAGAGCTCTTGTAAAGAGCTTTAATTGTTAATTCATTAACAATTAAAGCTCTTTACAAGAGCTCTAATTGTTAATGAATTTAATCCTAGTGATATCATGTGAAGTGATTTGGGTGGCCGATGTAAAGGTGTAAACAGCCTAGTAGTTTTTTTATTTTAGATATTATCAATAATTGTTTTTTATCACAGTTTGTTACCGAAAGAATTTTTATCAATAATACGCTTGACCTAGTGCTATCAGATGACCCTGATTGTATTGATATTGTTACAATATGACCTTTACTTGAATAAACTTAGAAAAATGATTTTCAGAATTCATTCTTATGGTATTACAGATACAAGTTATTGATTAAAACACTGCTTATACAAAGTAAATTAATTCTATAACAAAGGTGACTATATTGTATTCAATGAGGTTCTAAAGGCAATTGACTCGCCACACTTATTCTAAAAAAAACAGCTAACCAGAGTCTAAAATAATTTAAAAAAGCATGCAATGTTTTGATTGAACAGCGCTATTCTGAGTTCAATAACCCAAAGTCTTGTTAAAGTGACATTCAATATCTCTTTGATGGCAACGGAACACACTTATTTGAATAAAAGTCTATAGCAGACGGTCCAAATTATTAATTTTTTAAAGCGTTTTTACCACCTGTGACTCCAAATCCCTTATTTTTCCTGAAAGAACCAAAGCTGTTTGTTGTCTAGTTTCAAGCTTTTTGCATAATTGTTATAATATTGAGAAACATTTATTGCACTTGATGTTTTAATAACAGCCGGTAATGATGGAATTCATACTTAAGTGCTCAAACCTAGTTATAAAGAGTTCAGTATGCCTCTTTTTCTAATATTTATGTATATAATATATAATATGGCGTGACGAACTCGGTGGGAAAAGGACGTGTTTTTTTATTGATTTATCAAAAACTTTTGATATTATCGACCATCAAATTCTTATTAAAAGGCTCAAACTATATGAATCACAGGAATCGTTTTAAAATGTTTAAAGAGTTATTTAAATAATCGCGCTCAATATCTACACATTAACGATAAATCACCAAAAACGATACTAAATATTACTTGTGACGTGCCACAAGGTTCTATACTTGGACCTCTTCATTTTCTTATATATGTTAATGATCTTCATAAAGCATCAAGCCTGAGGACAATAATGTTTGCCGACAACACAAATTTGTTTTTATTGCACAGCAACGTTACTATATTATTTGAAATTATGAACTTAGAACTTAAAGATGATTTTGAATGGTTTAAATTAAATAAACTTTCAGTAAACATTGACAAAACTAACTGGATTCTATTTCACCTACTTTCCAAATAAAAACTAATACCATACCAAACGCTATTTATATTCATTAATAATATTCAAGTTAAAAGAGTAAAAACTACTCAGTTTTTAGGAATATATATATAGATAAAAATCTTACATGCAGACAACACATCAAAAGTTTAAGCAACAAAATTTCAAAAAGTATTGGAGTATTATGCAAATCAAAAAGCTATTTAAACATGCGCACTTTAATGCAACTTTATTATTCACTTATTCACTGCCATGTTAACTATGCAAATATTGTGTGGGGCAGTACTAACAAAAGTAAACTAAAGCCATTTCATCGTCATCAGAAACATATAGCACGTTTAGTTAATTTTTGTGATAGAGGAACTTATTCAAAGCCTCTCATAAGAAAAATCAATGTTTTAAACATATATCAACTTAACGTATATAATATTCTTTGTTTTATGTTCAAATGTAAAACGAAATTAATCCCGGCTTCTTTTCATAGTTTATTTAAAACAAAACAAAAAAATAAATATAATCTACGAAATGATGATTTGTTGACGCAACCATTTACGAAAACGAATTATTGTAAATTTTGCGTATCATTTCAGGGACCGTATCTTTGGAACAAAATTGTCTTAAATAACTTTGATTTTTCTTTTGACTAAAATTACATATCTTAAAAAAAAATTTGAAAGAAGCAGTTTTTAAATTTGACAATATACATATGTACTTTTAAACCTTTTAAAATTCTTTTTATCTATTATTTATATTGGTTTATATGATTTGTATTGTATGACTTTTCTTGATATGATTTGTAACTCCATTATTTACGATCTTCAAGCCTATATTGCTATTATACTATCTGTTCAATTATAAGATATTTTTTGTGAACTTTTTATTTTTTTGTAGTTTTTTTAATGTAAATCTTGTTATTCTTTTAGTATTGCATAACGCTTTTTTATTTACTACGTAAAATATTTAACTTGTAAAAAAGTAACAATGTCTTTTTACGGCGGTACTCGACGACAAGACCTTACGGTCTTCTACGAGTTTCCGCGTTTTTTTTATATATATATTGAATATTTTCACTTGTAATTGTTTATATTTTTTATTTTAGCTTGTAAATTTTATAAAATATTAACGTTAAGTTTTAAAATGAAATAAAGAACAAAAAAAAAAAAAAAAAAAAAAAATATCAAGTCTTTTAATTAATATTAAAAAAAGTCGAAAATGGCTATCACACTATTCCTGAAAAATACAGGTCTAATTCCATTATCTCTGCAGTTGGAAAAATAATGGAAAGAATTATGCATGATGTCATGACTAAACACCTAGAAAAACATAATTTGTTATCTTGGCATCAACATGGTTTTGCCAGATCTAGATAGTGCATTTCAAATTTAGGACATTATAAACATAGGACTTTTCAGTCTATTGATGGTTCTAATACTGAATAGGACACATAAAATTGTGTCAATAGCTTTTTTTTTTATCCTAAATTTTGCCATACTTCTTACGTTAAATCAATTAAATACGATCTTTGTCTGGACTTTATGTTATTCTTTTAACTACATGTTAAAAGAATAACATGTAGTCCAGACAACTTATTTTTTAGCTTTTCAAATGTCAACTTTGGATGGATTGATTTATAATCGCTATTATTCACGCAATACTAATTCATCTTTAAACAATTGGCGAATTTATAACTCAAGATACGCTGTTGGTAATGGTTTTAACGTAAGTAATGTTTAGTAATATAAGTTTATAATAAGTAATATAATGTTTAGTACAATCTCTTTATTATTAACACATAAAAAAAAATATCTTTAGTGTTCCTGCAACTTCACACTAGCTGTTTTAGTTGAAAATTAGATTTCAAGCTAAGCGCTATATTTCAAGGAAACTAGATTTCAAGCTAAGCTCTATCTTCACAATCGACATTAATGCTAAAAAGTTAACCGAACATACTAGATATTATTAATAATGCCGTAAAATATGAATTGTTTGATTTTGATTTGATTTTGATTTGATTTTGATTTGATTTTGATTTGATTTTGATTTGATTTTGATTTGATTTGAATTTCAAAAAGTTTTCAATTTTTAATTTTATAGCTTGTTATAATTTTCCATTTTTTCAAGTAGTATCGCATGATCAGTATCGAAGCTTTTGATCGGTCATTCAATACTCTTAGAACAAGCTTGTTATAACCAAAAAAGTCGTTTATTTTGTTTACTTGATCTAGCACTTTAGGAACAATTTTTAAGGGCCCCATTTCTGTTTTAAAATAAATTATTTTGTTAAATTATTTGGTAATTTTTTTTGTTCTTTTTATTACATATTAAATAAGCATTTAGTTGCAATATTTGAAATACAAATATATAATAATAAAAATAAAAATTAAAAAAATAATGATCGCTATTAAAAAATAAAAGAACAAGTAGAAAGACTTGTGAAAGACCAGGCGGTCTTGTCGTCGAGTAACGCTAAAAAAGTTTTATTTGTATTAAAAATTATAAGGTATTTCAAGACACTTTAATTGTCCCGTTATAAATACAAGATGCGTTACATCTATTATATATGTAAATTACAGTTGTTAATGATACCTATCAATTTCCATAAATTTATTGTAAAATAGAGAGTGAAAAGAAAAATTACCTAAAAATATCAAAAGTGTATTGTGTGTAAAAAACCAAAAGTGTAATCTTCAGTTATAAAAATGAGTTTTTTAACCTTTAAATTAACAAAAAAGTAGGTATTTTGATGAACAAAAAAACTCAATAAAATTTTTTAAACTTTTTATTACGTAAAAATGGTCCGCGATAATTAATACCAACTTTAAAAAGATTTATTAGAAAAATGGGCTGCTAAACAAACTACCTTTGCGTATATTGAAATAAATTTTATCTTTTGATGAATATAAATTATGGAATGAAAACGGGGATGAATTTGTTATACATTAAAACATAAAACAAAAAATATATTTTTGAAAATTTTTCCCTAAATTCAACCGAGAATGTCCGGCAGCAAAGTGACAGCATTTTATCCGTAAAAATTAACAGTTTCCCTAGTTTCTAATTTCCGTAAAAATCAACGTATAAAGTCCGTTATAAATGATTTTTCTTCGTATAACTCACTATTTCCGCATTTCATTTTTTCCAAACAAATAAAAGAAAAACTCTGTTTTTTGAGCAAATAGACAATTCCTTAACTTATCTTACAAAGTTTACGTGAAAACCAAAAATAAAAAAATAGAATCTATATTTGGTAATAAAAATGTAATTCAAGTATTAAGAAACTACTCGTAAATTGATTTTAAATTTTAACATAATATATATATTCAACATAAAAAAACTCAGTAGTTTTGAATACTTAAGCTACTTGCAAAACATTTAAAGAAATTGTATTTTAGTCACATATACCATATGCAAAACGCGTCAAGTCACAAAAATAAATTTTTTGATTTAATTCTATTTCCACAATCGATATATTGAAATCTAATATCAATATAAAATATTTGACTACTTGAAATTTTTTTTCCCCTCTAAATAGAAAAAAATATAAAAAGTTCTGCTGATACACAACTATGATTAGTTCAGTTTTTTAACTCATTTTCGTAAATTAAATTTACTTGTACTTTCCAGATGAACTCCTTATATGTTGCGTTTTATACGCGTTTTCCAGATGGACTCCTTAAATGTCGATGAAACAAGTTGTTTCATCGACATTTCAGGAGTGAATTTTGGTTTTACCCCCATTATGCAAATATTGAAGAACATAAGATACCACAGTTCTTTTTCGATTAATTTGAACTTCAAACTCTTTTTTCATTTCACGGCCAATTTCTTCATTCTCATCAAAATTTTCTAACACAAACGTAAATGTTGCATCCGCAGAAAGTAAATTTGAATCAGCACGGCATAACGCGTCTACGGCTTATTTTATAGGCATCAAATTTCTAGAAACTGTAGATATTATATTCCATCCTGAATCATTCAAAAATGTATCCGCTTCCGCTTTGATATCAATTATTGCCTTTTTTATTGAACTTTTCAAAAGATTAAAACGTTCTAACATAGACATCAGGCTACTCCATCTAGTCTTCGAATCAAGCAATAGCTGCAATTCCTTTCCATGATCTTCCTTCAAGTATTTTTGCAACACTTCATTTTTTAAAGGGGAACGTCGAAACATTCGAACAATTACCCGAACTTTCATGATTACATTTCGCAACGTAAACTTTTCAGTAATTTCTACATCACATTCAGTTCTCGTCCCCACTTGCATTCCTTCATCATCACTTAAGTCTTCTTCATCAGAGTCCAGATCTAGGACACTCTCATAATCATCTTTATCTACCTCTTTCTCTGTTTGTTTGTAGATCACATTTACAATTGCAATCTGAATTGCATGAGCAAAACACAAAATTTGTTCACCTGGTAATAATCTACCCACTTTTTGCATCATAGAAGCACCATCAGTTACAATACACGAAATATCGTTCCTTATATTTAACTGAAATGATTCTAACTTGTCCTCTAACAATTTTACACAATTTTCAGACGCAAATCGACCGTTAATTCGAGAAAGACCCAAATTCCAGATATTTTTCGACCCATGAACGTTAACATTCATATAACGTCTATTTCGAGAAGACGTCCACTCGTCCAATAATGTGCATGGTAGTTGTACATCACCCAATATCTTTAAAACTTGCTTGCATTGCATGCATTTCGCCACCTAATTTGTTTTCCCTCGTAGAAAATATTTCCACAATGAATTTGATGAGCTTTTTTTTAAAATGTCCGTAAAAGTTTCTTCAGATTTATCTACCATACTTGGGTTGGGATTTAAAACAATAACAATGTAAGTCTACAAAACTTTTAAAACATAAAATTATTATAATGACTTACTTTGTCTGCTCTGCATACAATTTAACTTCTTAATGTTAATATTTCATTAAAAAAAATTTTTTTTAATGCATTTGCAGTAGTCTAAGCCTACTATAGTTTAAATTTTTTTAATTTATAACAATGAAAGTACACAATGCTGCCATCTATAGTGAATGTTCTTCTAAATTCAAAATTCTAAAAATTTCAAAAAAAAACTTTTGTTTTGTTTTTATATTATGTATTTATTCCGTTATAAAAATTTTCATTTTTATTACTAAAAACTGTTGTATTATAGTACAGAGGATGACAACTTTGTTGTTGAAAAACGTTTTTAGTAATAAAAGTTAAAACTTTTAGAACGGAAAAAGAAATACATAATATAAAAACAAAACAATTTTTTTTTTGAAATTTTCATAAAAACTGTTTTAAATAACTTCAAAAATAAAATAAGAATTAAATAATCGAAATTCTAAATTCGAAAAATCCGGAATTTACGTTTGTGAGTTCCGGATTTTTAAAAATTCAAAACATGACGGATTTTCGAAATTCCGAAATCCAGATTTGGATTCACTAGAAACAACTATTATAATAATAATAGTTATAATAAATGTAAACAAATTATAATATGTTATAGCAGTTATTATATATAGTACATTTTATATATTATATAATACTTATACTAACAAATAATATTTTATTATGAAAATTTATACTATATTGTAATATTTCTTATGTATATAATATCATAATAGTTATAATAAATATAAACATAACTTTTTTTGATATATTGATCGTCTATCCATTCAAACAGTGCTAGTTCGTTTACAAAGCTTTGAACTTTTGGATAAGGTCCAAAACACTGTTTTTTACCAGTTTTTTTTTCAATTTTATTTCATTTTAAGGATTCATAATTGCGGTACATCTACATAACACTGTGTAGCCAAACCATGATTACCTTAAACTCCAGAAAATCCTTTTGGGGGATGATAGCCCATATATAGTAGAGCATTTAGATATACAAATTTGGAAATCAAAGATTACGTCCAAAAATGATATTTTGATTTTAAATTTTGAAGCTAATATACTTAAACAATTGAAGAACGACAAAGAATTTTGTATTGTTGCAGCATTTATTATTCTTTTTCAAAAGTCATTTTTTAGTGGTGACAATAAAAGAATCATTCTTATGTATATAAAACAATATCTCTGAATAAAAAGATCAAATCGGGAAATAATTCTTTAAAAATACAGTGTTTTTAATTTTGGTTTGAAAAAGACCTTTTTAACTAAAATGAATGCTTGCAGTTGATGTCTACAACACAATTCAGAAGCTTTTTTTCATATTCTGGAAGATTGGGATCTCGTTTGTATCGTTGCCAATGCACATTGAAGTTGTTATGCAATGATTCTGTAGCCGGTGGCAAGACTTGACTTGTGGCGGTCAATAAAATACTTTATATAAAAAAAGACTTAAATGATGGAGGTGTTTGGCAACATTATAAAGGAAGTCTGGAACTCCTTTATCTTGTCTGCAATATTGGGAGAAAGATTTTTTCTAAAGCAAGAGTTCACAACCCTTTTAAAAACATGTGAAAGTTTCAACATAAGACATGACATCGAATGAAGAACTTTCTTCAGCCAAATTTAGAACATCTGAATGCTTTAATAGCTTTTGAAAATTATTTTCAGCAAATCTCCATAAAAAGGCTTGACACAATTTTTTTTAAAGATGATTAACTCCAAGAAGAAAATGTAGCTTAAGTAGATGGATAAAGTCCGATAAGAGTGTTTGATTGTCTAAAAAAATAATTGGTCTGTGAACAACACTGTTGAACTCTATTGCTCTT